CGTTCGTTCGATTCGAGTGAAATTGAAGAGAAGAGGTGTGACTGCTCTTTAGTTTATTTTTATCTCTCTACAAAGAATAAATAAAAGAAAATCAATTGACACACTATCGTCGTATGCAGAGGGAGAATATTTTCATTCGTTTTGCTTTTTCTTTTGCGCAATTGCCAATGAACTATACCAATTACCGTGCGATTTCATGTAGTATGCAAGTACTACGATGAAACTTCGTATCTAAACTTAAATACTCTCGTTTCTATCGTAAAAAGTTATTTTGCCGATCGGTCAACACAATAATCCATGCTCTGTGTTTCAGAAAAGACCTACTTATGTTGCGACCTCGTCTTTCATTTCTCAATCGCCAGTTCTTACAACGAACTTTAGGAACTCAGGCACAATCTGCTGTTACTAATGAAAGTAACGCTGAGCAGCAAAATCAAACAGATGATTATACGTTATCAAGCGTTTCAAATACTCCACCACGGCGACCATTAACCAATCAATTCACTCATCAGGTCAAGAATCAAGTTCCACCACTTGAATATAACGATTTATATAAAAGCGATTTAACACTGAGAGAATTTGTTACTAAAGAAAATAAAGGACAGATCAAAGATATGGGACTAGAATTGGGTACATTCCATTGGCATGAACAAGGCCAAATAGCTAATCGACAAGTACCTATGTTACATCAATTCGACCGCTATGGTCAACGTATCGATGAAGTTAATTTTCATCCAGTTTATCATGATTTAATGCAAGTCGGCATGAGATATGGCGTAAGTTTGAAAGCCCAACTCGTTCCTTACCGTATGTTTTCTAGGTTCATTCTGTAGCCTGGGAATCATTACCTGGTTCACAAACAAGTATAAATGCGCACGGACATTTACAGCATGCAGTATGTAATCCGTTGAAAGAGGTACGTTACGCGAAATTTATTATCTTCTGTTCTAGGCAGGATTGTATATTTTAACACAAGTCGAAGCAGGTGTCTGTTGTCCACTATCAATGACTTATTCGGGTTATCCCGTTCTTCATCGTTATTTGCACTGTACAAGCAAAGAATTAGTTAATAGTTTTCCATTGGAGAAAATTTTATCTCGAAAATACGATTCACGATGTGTACCAGCAAAAGCTAAATCAGGATTAACTATCGGTAGAATACATATATGCTTCAATTCATCCGAAAGTCATCGATATTCTTGTTCTAGGTATGGCATTGACAGAAAAACAAGGTGGTAGTGATGTACGAGCAAATACAACCAAAGCTTATTGTGATGATGCCGAAGAGAAACGTTACATTCTTGTTGGCCATAAGTATGTAGAAGATATCATATTAAAATCACGTTAGTAAGAAATTGCTCGGGTTTTCTTAGATGGTTCTGTTCTGCACCGATGAGCGATGGTTTTCTTATACTTGCTCAAATTCATGATGCTGACAATGTTAACGCATCGTCTACTCGTGATATTCCATCTTGCTTTTTCGTTCCACGCTGGTTACCTAACGGAGAACGTAATCCATTCTATATCCAACGATTAAAAGATAAGCTTGGTAACCGTTCGAATGCATCAAGTGAAATTGAATTGAATAATACTCAGGGTGTAAGTAGACTTCTTCATGGAATTTCCAAATCGATCATGTGTTGTAGTGGTTATTGGGCAAGGAACATGATGGTGTGAAAGTGATTCTTGAAATGATCAATGGAACACGCTTAGATAGTGCGACATCCAGTGCTGCATTGATGCGACAAGCTTTAGTTCAAGTAAATATTTTCACTAGTATGAAAGTTTTCATCTACCAAGATCTTTTTCGTAGGCGAATTGGCACGCACGTCATCGTAAAGCATTCGGTCGTTTGCTAATCAATCAACCATTGATGAAACAAGTGCTTGTTGATTTATTGCTGGAATCCGAAGCAGCCACCGCATTTGTTATGTATTTGGCCACACTTTTCGATACAACGTACAATAATGTTCACTCAAACAATACAGGAGAAGTTATTGCATTGTCACGTATTGCGACTGCCTTGGCGAAGTTTTGGATTTGTAAACGTACACCTGAAACGACTTACGAAGCATTGGAATGCCTCGGTGGCGCTGGATATGTCGAAGAATCAATGATGCCACGCATATATCGTGAAGCACCATTGAATAGTATTTGGTAAACTCGCTCATTTCATTGAGAAATCGATTACTGAGACCTGTGCTTCTAGGGAAGGCAGTGGTAATGTCATTTGCTTGGATATTCTACGCTCAATGAAAAAGTCACCGGAATCATTACAAGCTTATTTATCATTTGTCCATGAAACTAAAGGTTCAAATAAACACTTAGATGCCGCTGTCGATCATCTGGAAAAACATTTACTATCCAAAGATCTTTCTGCATCTATGCTTGAACGTCACGCACGAACATTAGCAGCACAGTTAGCGTTATGCTTTCAAGGTGCTCTTCTTGTCCGTCGTCTACCACAAAGTGTTAGCGACGCTTTTTGTGCATCCCGTCTGGGGCCTGATCGTGGCTCAATCTTTGGCGATTTGCCGATGAATATTGACACCGATGCGCTCTTAAAAAGATTACCGTTCTAATTATTTATTCTGTTATGTATAAAACGTCTTTCTTTTTCAAATAAATTAAAGATAATTAGTTAGTACAAACAAGTAGAGTTATATCTGAGCAAAATGCGTTCGGGTGTTCGACAAAAAAATATGTTTCCAGTAACAAAAATAGTCATTTAAAATACAAAGGTTTGTTTTTGATGCGTTGGAAGAGAAACTAAAACTAATTGAGCTTCTTCTTGCACTTGTGCATATGTTTCACCATCAGACATAATGCTGTAGAAGAAAAAAGCGTCACTTGATATTCTTATTCATTGTTGCATCTTCTTCGGGATCATCATCGATATATGGAATTATACCTCGACCTTCATATGCACCTGCACCGGTGACTGCTGTTAAGTTTGACGAAAGATTTTCTACTTGAAGAAGACGACGAACTAAGGCAGAAAACTCTGCATAATCAATTCGATGGTTTCCGTCGAGATCCGCTTCTCGAATCATATCGTGAAGTTCATCATCAGTTAACTGTTCACCTAGATCACAAATTCAAAACACAATAACGCGATTGCATCCACTGTTATTTTACCAAGATTATTCATTACAGCGCGAAGTCCTTTTTCGGTGATGAATCCATTTCCTTCTTTGTCAAAGATTCGAAATGCTTCGTTGAGAAGTTCATCGTTGAATATGTTCAGCCGATTTTCACCTTTGTGATTCATCATGAGTTTGAATTCATTGAAATTCACGAGACCATCACCTAAATAGAGATCATCAGTATGGCATGTAAAGATCATTCGCGAATGACGAACCATCGATATCGACTTCTTGTATCATCTGCTCTAATTCACCAGGTGTCGTCTGATAACCAATACATTGCATGACATGCTCAAGATCTTTCGTGCGGATAACACCTCCACCAACACGATCGAATAGAGCAAATGCTTCTTTCAATTCTTTATGAAACGATGAAATCAAAGTTAGATTAACAGAGAAGGATTTTTCAGAGTAATCAATACATACTATTGTCTTGCTCGATTGAAACCGAATTGGTACGCATTGTCATCAGTAGTTTTAGTATGAATTGTACACAATAACGATATGGAACATGAAGAAGTAAATGCGAGAAGAAAGAAAAGGACACAAGCAAGAAATTAGATTTGCCACAAGACCGCTGTTGAAACAATGAAGTAGAAACGAAGAGAAAAATAGATTTCTTCAACCAGCTGTTTCGGCCAAATCTTCTTGTGATATTCTATGTATTTTTATATTGGTCGATTCTCTCTTTATATGCTTGATTTCGTTCTGACTGAGATTATTTTTCTACTAGGGATGTATTTCTCTGTAGATATCCGTCTTTCCTTTGCTTTACTTATGTTAATATACGTCTCAATGTTTGTGCGACTAAATATCAGAAGCGAAGAGCAGAAATTTGTTGAATGCATCCGTATTGGTATATGAGAGGACGATTATCAGAACTCAAAGGATAGCGAGCACAAGTCAATACTCTCATCATTCTAACAGCAGCCATAGCATAACAATTCTTCCTATTTTTTCTTCTTCTTATTCTTTCGTACATCCATTCAATACTGGATGCTCTTTATTAGACTATTGTTATTGGCACCGGGGACAACATTCTTTGTTATGATGATGATGGTTAAAGTGTTGAAGTAGAACATCGTACTATGCACCGTGGAAATTTGAGGCACAAACAGGAAAAAAAAGAAAGAAAATCTCTTTTGATGTTTGTTGATATTATTCTTCTTGTCCGATCCTTTTTCATGTCCATATCATATTCATAACTGTACAAAGAAATCATGTATTGTGAAATCTAGTAATTGAAAAAAAACGCGAAGTATCTGTTTATCCAAGTAGATCCTAGGATATGCCTTGCTCGAGTTCTATTTTTGTCATCGTTATCAACCACGGAATATATATCACCATCCATCGTTCTATATAGGCATAACCCACGCATTTTCTCCTTTCTGATTCTTTGTTTCTCGTATCGACATGGAATAGACGCTATTCAGTTGTTCTGTAGCTAACATAACATAAATACGATGGTAGCAGCGATTTTATTTGACTCGTTGATATCCGTTTATATATATATGGCCTAACATGATGTGTGCAGCAACATTTCTCTTGTTTTCCCGACAACATCGACTTCTTTCCTTTTTTTTTCCTCTTTTCTCGACAATTGCACAGTTAGTTATTTGCTTGTCCATAGTATAGATTTGGTACCAGAAGAAAGACATACATATAGAGAATTTTCTCGTCTTATTATTTATAGGAAACAAACAACGTAGAGCCGCCTATTTTCCTCTCTCTCTCTCTCTTTCTTTCCTTTTCGGTTTGTTTAGAAGAATTGCACTCCAGAAAAGCATCAGGAGATATTTGCGAAGGAATACGTTCTTTTTCTGATAACTAAACAATACATACATATCGAAGAAGATGGTGAGTTAAGATTGCTGCTGAATTGTAAGAGTTGCAAACAAATTCGAATGTTTTTTTCGGATTTCAGGCTGAAGAAGAACAAGAATTTCAATTGACCGATGATCAAATTGCTGAAATTCGAGATGCATTCAACATGTACGACAAAGAACGAAAGGGTGAAATTCCAACATCGATTCTTGGTACAGTCATGAAAAACTTAGGACACAATCTCAAACCTGATCAATTAGCTGAATGTATCGAAGCTGTCGATGGTGATGGTAAGTTCTTCAAAGTCTCATTTTTGTCTCATATGAATCTAACGAACTGATTTGCTTCTCTAGGAAGTGGTACCGTCGATTTTGTACGTATCGACAAAATCGAAGAGAAGTCAAGTAACATTTTGTTTTTAGGATGAATTTCTTGCTTTAATGGCAAAGAAGACCAAGGAAGCTGAAGATGAACGAGAATTACGTGAAGTATTTCGTGTCTTCGATAAAAATAGCCGTGGTGTTATCGATGTAAGAAAACAGAATTTTGACACTGATTGATGAATGAGTTTTTTTTCCTTTACAAAAATCATTTAGGTTGCCGATTTGAAAATGATCTTCAAGGCACTCGATCCCGACATGCCAGATGATGAAGTTGAACAAATTATCTCTGAAGTCGACGAAGATGGTTCAGGCACTGTCGATTACGAAGGTAAAAACAGCGATTTCCTTCGTATTAATTTCCTATTTTTTCTCTTTCGTTCGAATAGAATTTTACAAATTAATGACAGGCTAAACAAATACAACCAGCATGATTGTCAACGTATTTTTTTCTTCTTCATCAACAGTGACTTTCTTTTTTTCTATTAATAATTCTTCTTGAAAACAAAAATCGTGTGTAAACCTTTTTTTTTAATCGTTCAATAATTATCAAAATAAAAGTACTATCTTGACACCTGACAAAATGATTGTCCTTCTTGTGTTAACAACAAGAATTCGAATTAATACACTTGACAGAGTTTTGTATGCGAAGAGTCCTTTCGGCGATAAGTGAAACCTGTTATTATTCTTTTTCTCCTCTTGCTTTTTTTTTTAACCGACCTATGTGAACAACATCTATTTGTACAACAAACAAAACACTTTTCTACCTTTGCTTTTGTTACTATTTGAAAAAATAATTGAAGAGAAAAAAAATTGACTTAAGTATATTTTTCTACTGACTTTTAACTTACTTACCATACTTTCATGAGTATGTCAGAAATTAATTTTGAAGCAAAATAAAGCACAATTATGACTGTCCTACCATTCCTGGATATCAAAGCAACACCAGTACAATCATTAGACACATCTTTGTCATCGCGTCAACGTGCACCGGAGTCAACACTATCACCCTGTAGTTCCACTCGATTAACCTCATCGAAGCGTGTTTCTATTACTCCTATACGGATTCAAACACCGAAAATCAAAATTTTGCCACGATCTGATACAACTCTAAGACACTTACCAGTTCCGAAATCTGCTGCTGTTCAAGCTCATAATGGAATATGGAAGCCATTAATACGCGAACCAGCTGATTATGATTACCTCTGGGAACCTTTACAACGTGAAGACATTCGTCACCAATACGATCAGTATGTTCCTCCGCAACGCATAACTGCCAGCCGACCAGATGAACCTTATCGAATGTCATCAAGATTTGAAACACAAGATCGGCATTTTCACAACTATCGACGTACTCAAGCCATGCAACAGAAACAATGGAACAAAGAACATATTCAATACACGATCTATCCTTATTCTCAAATAGCTGAACGTGAATCATATAAGTAGGTACTTTTCATATGTTCCCGACATGATTTTCTTCATCTTATTTACTTGAAGTAAATATATGCGAACGACATTGAAAGAACAAATTAGAGAAAAAATTCAATTCGATAAGACAGAACGAGGAAGAAAGAATCTTGAATGTCAATCAATTATTGAAAAAGATCGACAAGACTTAGAACAATACAAGCAAAAACAACAACAACGAGCGAAATATCTATTAGAATTTACCACCAAAAATAAAGAAGTACGAGAAAGAACAACATAACTCAAACTTTTTGTTTCTCGTTTTCCTTCTAGTTAATGGAAAATAAATGGGCACATGATCGATGGAATCGTGTCCATCAATGGCATGTCGAACGAGTCATCCTAGCCGACAATCCCATCAATTGGAGTAAAACTTTAACTTAACTTCGATATTTTCTTTTGTAAATTCTTTCATTTTACTATTCGATTGAGTACAAAATCTACACTCGTTGTCAAAACAAAAAAAAAAAGAACAGTCGGAATGTGAGATGATTTATGCACTTGAAAATATTAATTATACATTTTCATCATCGACAAGTTTGACTTACACGATGACTGCAGTCGAAAAAGAACAACACTTAAGGCGATAAAACTATCGACATGCGTTTTTAGTTTTGCATTTTACAGCACCGACAGGAACAAAGTGCGCTTGATGTCGGTCGTTGATGATAACTGTTATCGATGAAGGTGATAAATAATACTGTCAAAAACACAAGACTATTGAATTACACTAGGAGACATCAACGATTGCCATGAGTCATGAAAAGCATCTGGAAAAGTTTCATCTCGCTTTTCTTTTCGAAATCGAGAGGCCAACTAAATATATGAAGAAATTTTACCTGATCAGACTAGAGAAACAGAAAATTCAGTTTGCCTTCTCAAATGACCAATTAGGCTCATCGATTATTTGATAATCTTTACCACGAATCAGTCGAATATTTATATCAAACAAGGAATGTGATATTTCGAAAGAGTAATTAACTAAATGTAAAGTCTTGCCTCAACCATGAAACTAATTCAATCAATCACCGATTACTGTAGTCAGATCACGTTTTCTTATCGAGTCAATCAGTTGCTCTTTATTTCTACATGACCCAAACACAAAAATGTAAAGACTGACATTAGATTGTATGCTATTTTCTTTGTTATTACATCGACGAATGTACGTGCGATCTGTTTCTTCGTATTCCTATGTCTTTCTCCTTTTATGGACGAACAATATTGCATTGTTCGCTAGCGGAACAAAACAGTAGTTGGAAATCTGCACTGCCATATACACCGTTCGATTTCTCAGAGGGACAAATGCGATTACGTCGGGGAACATTGTTAAAATCTGTTGATGAAACTTTAGTCAACAATGATAAACAAGATTATCAATTGAGAGTAAGTCATTTTATTCACCATCTGTTCGTCGAAGAACATATGTAACAATATGTTCAGTTATCATTAGAAAAATAAATAGAAACAAAGAGCAAGTTTCCTTGTCTAATCTTTTCCTTCGATAAATCATCTGGTCTTGACTGTGTCTCTGTCGCATTGTGAATCTGTCTTCCAGGGCACCGGCATTCAATTAATTGTGTACAGAAGACTTCATCTTACAAAGACAGAACAGAGAAATAGAGACATATAGAGAAAAAAATGAGAGAATGTGTATATGTCCTTCTTGACACTCGTTGTTAGAAAAACATTGTGCGATCTGAATATGCTCGAATGAAATCAGCTAATATTTTATATGCTAACAAGTATCGAGCAACATACACTAGTTAATAAACATTGATGGAAAGATAAGATGCCACGACGAAAATATGTTGTACATGAACCAACACCGGATGATGCAAGTAAATCGCTAAACTCAACATCAAATCTTCGAGATAAACCGTTTCTCGTACGAGTTAAGGTAGGTCAAACATTAATCTGATTAAATATCAACATTGATACAGGTCAAGAAGATTCACCATATGTTTCAACAGTCCTTCTGAATACAATTAGAGAGAATGTGTGTGTGTGAAATCTATCAGACAACGTGCTGTGTATCCATATCTCTATTTTACTTATCAATATCAGATTCCTATGCAAAGGCAAGCAAAGATATATTCCTGGATATAGAAAAATTCGAGTAAGCGACATTCGCTATGTCAACTGTAATCAGTGTACATTTCTTCTTCTCCTGCTGCTATTGCTTTCAAGTTATGTTATTGTCTTTATAATTCAATCAATATCAATAGAATAATTCTTCATATTTATTGTTTGTACATAGTGGTGTATGTCAGAATTTCTCGCTGTTACGGCAGCAGCAGCGGCTCGAATAATCTTCGCTGTACACGGTATTGCGGCGATCTGGCGGGTTGCGCTTGTTTATAAACAAAATAAATACTGGTTTCAAGCAATAACGTAATCATTGTGATACATCGTTTAGTTTTTGAATTTGATTTTGCTCGCTTCTTGGTAGATTATTCGGAATTCCCGTGGAATTTTTCGTGACACTGTATATGAACAATGGCCATGAATGGAAATGGTAAATGGGTTTCATGGATATTGATTTTACCTACCTAGAATTACATAATTTCTCGATTTTCAGGTTTTGTCCGTCTGTATTTTTCTATTTGTGTACCGTTATACCAAGTGTGTGGTTTCTCGAACTTGATCTAGCCGAAAGACGATTAAATTTCAATGTTACGCAAGCATTAGGATTGATTCCAGCTAATTCTGATGTTGATGATTCGTTACCGGTGAGAAAGTCCACTGAAAATCACCAGATAATCATCTTTAGTTTCTAGCTTGTTCCATGGAAAATTCCCGCGGAGATGTGGACACAAATAGTCGAGCAAACGCTTCTTCTCGTTCTCATTATTGGACGTTGGTTACTACCTGTCGGAAAAACAATGACACGTGATCAGCTTTCTCAACTATTACTTGTTTACATTGGTACAGCAGGTAAGATAAATAACGATCATTACGTAACAGAATCGATTTGAAAATGTTTATTAGCGGATATCATTGAATTGTTCGAAGCATTTAAAGAACATGATGTTCAACGGAATTTGACTATTATTCATTTGATTCTGGCGGCATGGTCAATAAGTTTGATGCAGTTTACTCTGGTTGTGACATCGACAAAAACACGGATGAAGAATAATTCGAAAGAGTTAGAGAAATGTTTTAGTTGTCAGTTGTTTTGGGAAACTGAGTTATGGGTAATGTTGTTTTTTGTTGTGTGCAAAATTTATTTGTTAGAAAATCTGGTTGTTCATCTAGGCACTTTCTAGTACAATTCTTCTTCAAGATGGTCCATTTCTTTGTCTTCGACTCGGTTTGATTATTCATTATAAGATCATCTCTCAATCGAATGTGTTTTTCACCACGAAAAATCTACTCGTTGTTGTTTTACAACTTTATCGTGTTTGTGTCATTATTATCGAACATCGAAAACGTCAACGTTTAGCTCATTTACATGAAAAAAGCCAACAACAACCGACTTTACCAAAAAAATCTCCAACACAACGAAAAGACAGGTCCGGAACATTAACCTCGAAATCGACGAAAAATTCATCGATACAATCCATACCCATGACGAATATTCGATCCAAAGATAGTTCTACTGATATCACTACAATAGGAAATACCGATCCCTTACCTCGCCGACTACAAACTACAAACTCCAGCGTATCATTACCACCTTTACCACCACCTCGACCGAAGAGTTCGCATTCCAATTCATTAATAACTGTTACTCCAAATAATTCAAAAATCTGCACATCAGTATAGAATAACTTGTACTTTTCACGATATTGTCTAGCTTTCTTTTCATAATGTACATGAACAGTTCTAATCGATTACGAACGTGCCTTCTTTTTATGTAATAAAATGAATTTGGATATCTATCGAAACAGATGGTGGTAGTAGTATTCGTTGAAAAGATGTTTTAAAGGAGAACTGAAAGAAAACAGGACCGATAAGCCAATAGACTTCTATTTAATTCAGAAGAAATCTTATCGATAGATAATAAGGTGCATATTTACGATTATGGGAGTGAAATTGAATGTAGTTAACATCTTATTTTTCTCGATTCTTATCGATTTTTTGGAATTTACTATTATTTTACCATTATTACCGAAAATTTTAACTTATTATGGTAGTGAAACAAATTCTCATCAAGTAAGTTCGTAAGAGAGAACATTCGATTTTCATATTCGTTTTGTATTGAAGGATACATTGTACGAACGAACGATTTCATTTGTTCAATTTATTCGCGATCTGACTGGTGCACCTAATGATGCGAAATGGAATTCGGTTCTCTTCGGCGGTATGTTGAATCAACAAGCATCCAATTCGTTTCCTTTCATTCAACTCGAAAATTCATTTAGGTCTCGTTGGTTCACTATTCTCTCTCCTTCAATTCTTTTCTTCAACATTATGTGGCATCGCATCGGATCGCTATGGCCGAAAACCTGTTCTTCTTCTTTCCATGGTAATTCAACCCTCATTTTTTTTCTTTCGGTTGTTTCCGAACGCGTTCTAGATCGGCATCTCATTTTCTTATGGTCTGTGGTGTGTCTCATACAATTTAACTATTTTTATGTTTGCACGTCTTGTGAGTGGATTATCAAAAGCGAATGTTGCCATTACATTAGCAATTGTATCAGATACAACAAATGAAAAAGAACGAAATCATGCGATGGTAATGCATGGACATACAAAGTTTTTTCTTTTCTTATTGATTAGTTCTTTGTTTCGAAAGGCTTGGATTGGTGTAGCATTTTCTCTTGGTTTTATCTTTGGACCTTTGTTTGGTGCGCTTTGCAGCCAATTTGGTATTACTTATTGGTCAACATCATCGGTTAGCTTTTTTATCGTTCCCGCATGTGTCTCACTGGTTTTATCATTGATCAATATCGGATTTATCTATCGATATTGTCCAGAAACATTACCTATCGCAAAACGAGTATAGAATCATATTCGTGTAGATTTCATGTTGTTTGTTAAGCGAACTTTTATAGAATGAAACAAAAACGACGATCAAAGATGTTTATAATGCTATAATACCATGGCGTTTGTTTCAATTTCGTGCTATCCGAAAAGCCAAATTTAATCATGGTCTGTATTCTAACGAACTCTATTCTATTTTCATTACAGTTTTTGTTTTATCTCGGACAGATATTGTGATCTTACGTCAACTTGGTTTGGCAAGTTTTTTCTACATGATTATATTCGCTGGTTTAGAATTTACCATTACTTTTCTCGTTTATAATCGCTTCAACTGGAACAGGTAAGAACGGCAAAGAAAACGAAATTTTCTTACAGAGAGTTGTCTGCCGAATAGTATGCAACAAGGAAAGATGTTCTTTCTTATGGGTCTATGTATGGCTTTGGTACAAGGTGGTTACGTACGACGAATTCCACACGGAAAAGAAATCACAGCAGCAATGACTGTAAGTAACCGAAATCAGATGCGTTAAATGTCGATAAAAAATCTTATCTAGTCATTAAAAAAATAGGATTTTTATTTAAAAAAATAGTCACGATTTAAACATCTGTACGAGGAGGATTGTTGTATTTATTGTAAGGTAGTTCTTCCATATTCATGACGATATCATCTTCTTGACTATGTCCAGCCATTTCGATTTCATTCTCAATTAACTCTTGTCGTTCGACTTTTTTATACTTTCGAAACGCTCTGAAAAATGGAAATCCTGTGTTCCGATAATGTCGTAAAAGAGCCAAGATGACTACAACAACAACTAAACCTACGATTATCCATAGACCGTAGATACCGAGCATTTGTTTCGTTTTCTTTGTCAATCGCTTAAGTTTACTTTCAGGTAGATAACGAGTAAGACACGAGCTGAATTTCACTGGAAGTTTCTTCATCAATGTTGCATTTTGTCGATACCAATTGAAATACAGCGATAACAAAGGATCTTTTGATTTCGTTTGTAAACAACGATCAGTTAAATCTGGTCCGATAGAAGAAATATAAAAATATCGTAATGACGCAGTGAATATAGCGTTTGGTTCGATAGTTTTCAGTGAATTGCCGGTCAAATCAAGAATTTGAAGATTTCGTGCTTGAAATGCGTTTTTTTCAATTTTCTCGATTTGATTCCACGATAAGTCGATTTCCACGAGACTGACCAAGTCTCTATGGAATGTCTTCGAACGAACAATACGGATGAAATTCGATCGAAAATTAACTTGCCGCAATGTACGACTTTTCAAATGTGTAAAGTAGTCTCGTAATGAATCAATTCCGTTGTTCGATAAATCAAGTACTTCTAAATACGAGGTGCTTATCGATAGAAAGTTGCCGATTACTGTTAAATTATTGTTTGAACATCGTAATTCTCTTAATGTCGATAAACGGTGTCTTAAACTCAGCGTTTGAAGAGTCTGATTTGAACAGGTTTTCGGCCATAGCGANCGTTGTTCGATAAATCAAGTACTTCTAAATACGAGGTGCTTATCGATAGAAAGTTGCCGATTACTGTTAAATTATTGTTTGAACATCGTAATTCTCTTAATGTCGATAAACGGTGTCTTAAACTCAGCGTTTGAAGAGTCTGATTTGAACAATCCAAATATTTCAATTCTCTCTGTTGACTTAAGTCGAGATTCGTTAAGTAGTTCGAACTGACATCTAATGCTTTAACAGTATCTGAATCGATACCAAACGCCTTGATATTCATTCGCGAGAAATTCAGAAAAGTATCACGCGCTTGAATAGAAAGTTGAGTTACATTAAAGAGATCTTCACCTTGATTTTGACTGTAGTCAATATCTTGAGCTAAGTCCAATAGACTGTTTAGATGATGTACTAGATCGAATTTGGAATATCGAACCGTTGAGCGCAGGTTAATTGATCGGTAAACCGTCTCGTTCCTCCAGAGAATTTTATCGAATTCAATCGGATTGTACGCTAGTGATATCGAGCGGAGATATATGAATCCTTGCAAATCAATGTTGTGGAAGTAATTGTACGATAAGTCAAGTCGACTTAGATATGTAAATGATTCGCTTGCTAACCAAGCAGGTAGTTTTGAAAGTTTCAAAGAACGTAATGATAAATGTTCCAATGGTTTCTTGTTTGATGTTGTTGTATCGCATTTCAGTAGACGCTCTATAAATGTGTTGATGTCTATGTCATCTGATTGAATGTTTGACAGATCTAATACTTTCAACGACGGAAATATGTCAAATAGACAAGTTTCGCTTCCATCTGCATCGGATTGAAAACGAGAATTTTGTAAGTCCAGTTGAGAAATTTTCTTCACACCGTCGAACAATCCGCTCGAGGAAGTGAATGCGTTCCTTTCATAGACATTATTGCGTAATATCAGATGATCGAATATGTAGGAAAATGTATCTAAATGTGAAACGAAAGATTTATGAGTCAAAACGTTGAAATATCATGGCAAAGGGCATCATCAATCGATAAATATCTAACCTTTTCGATATGAATGACGTACCTGGCTTATTTAGACAAGTTTTGTACATGTCTGATCCGCTTAAATCGAGCGTTTGAAGTTTTTTCAACGGTCGGAAGATTTCAGGACAATCATTCGGGATTTGTTTCGTACAGGTGAATGATAAATTCAAAGCATTCAGTGTCTCGTAGATCGATGATTTGAACGAATTCGATGTGATGATACACGGACCTTGTTGGTTGGCTAATGAAAGACTTTGAATAACGAATTTAAATCCCGTGAAGTCGATCGTTTGATTCGTAAACTTTTTCAATGATGTAGAATTTGATAAATCAATCGAAAGTGTATAAGATTCGAGTGTTTCTTCATCATCTACATCTTCGGAAGTCTTATCACTATCGATCTCCCATTGTTCAGCTCGATATATAAATGTATTACTTTTAAATTCGACCTTTGTACAATCCATCTGATAAGAAAGTGGTTCCAACGGTTTGCAGAGACATTCTCGTGGACATGGGATTGCATAGAGAATCGTCATTGAGGAGATAAATAACACGAAAAGAGATGTTCGGAACATTCTCTTGCTTATCGAAAGTCAGCAGTTGAAGAAATGAGAAAAAAGAATGATCCGTTACTTTCTTGTTTGCTCGAAAAGGATGCGAGAGATAAGAGAGAAAAAGAACACGATGTGATAATAGGTCACCTATCTTCATCGTTTTGTACTTTTATTGACTGAAAATTTTTTTTAATTTTGCTTTTGCAGGGAATTGTCATATTGATTCCATCGTTCATCGTCTTAGCGGTCGCTCAAACCAAGTTCGTTCTATGGCTTGGTTTAATATTATTCTCTTTCGGTAAGTCATTTGTGTCATGCAATGCCTTTCTATCTATGCCATGTCAATTAGCTTCAAGTGTTGTTATCAATGTTATCAATAGTTTTGCATCGAAATATGGTTTGTTGGAATTTCTTTTCAGAATGTAATTTTTATTTATGATTTAGGTTTGCAAAATGAAAAAGGTGCGATTCTAGGAATCTTTCGAAGTTTACAAGCATTGGCTCGTGCAATTGGCCCATTGACTGCTTCATTCGGTAACATTGCCATTGGATTTGAACGATTAGTTTTCGCTTTTTACTTTAGCATACTGGTCAATTGGTGAAAAGGCGACTTATATTATCGGTAGTCTTTGTTTACTCTGCCCTCTTCTAATTCTTGTCAATGTTCAACATCGTCTTCGAGCATTGCCGATGAAAATCGCAAAATAAAATGTTTCTTATTGACTTTTTAAGTTTCATATTAGTTTATCCGCTTTTTTTCTCTTGTATTTCTTCAAATACAGCTGTTCGTCTTCTCGGGAATGATATTGTCTTCATAGTTATATGAATCAAAAAACGTGCACGATACGATATCAACACTTTTTTTTCTCGTTCTGTTCTGCACATCGATAAGATGAAATGACGTGCTAGGGTGTAGATCAAAATCGATCAAGCGATTCACAATTAGTCCTTCACATGATTGTTTGTTTCATTTTGTGAACTCTATAACTTCGTTAGCCAAACAGATAAAAACGAATTTCTTTGTATTTAGACTAATTACCAAAATGCTTATTCCACTAATTCAAGTTTTATTCGCTGCAATACGAACAGTTTCTCGGTCCGCGGTGAATATCATGTTGTATTCGATTTTATCACGAATTTTTAACCAATGGTTTGGTTTTAATACCTTGATTACATTTTTTTGCTCTGCTTATTGTTTGTCGAAGATTGTGGGTTATTTTCAACGAATGTGGTTGCAAGCACGTTTGAAAAACAAGAAGCCTGACGAGAAAATCCTCATGGAAGATCTATCTTGGGAATCAGATCAAATGGAATCGAATGAGAAATTCGAATCCGATTGGAAATATTTACTTGATGACGATACGAAACACGTCTTTTCTTCGATTGTTGATATTCCCTTCCGAAATGGATGGTTGTTTTTCGGAACTATGATCGTCATTGATTATCAGATGAATAATTATGGTTATAGTTATACATACTCTCTTATTCGGACAGTGGGCTTCTTGATTGCTCTGATATCTGGTGCGGCGATTCGTTATCAAACATTGCTTGAACGGGAAAAACAAAAATTTTTTCGTCATATGCTGAAAATACGTGATGAAGTCGAACGGTACATTGTTTATTCGAAAGGAAGCACTCCAATCGCTTCGATTTGTTTGCAAGTTGTGAATGCCGAAGAATCGACTGTGTTCATGGTACAATTGTGTCAATTGAATTCGAAGTTTAATGATTATATTTATGATATAACTGATTATATTTGTCACAGGTTATTCGAACGTGTGAAAAGTTATTCGAACGAAACGGGAAAGTCGATTCGAATGGTTTGGTCGATTCCGACTTGTAAACAAAATTGGGTACATGCACTCAAAGGAAATAAACTTGTTCTTCGAAATACGTATAAAGATTATTCGTTTATGCCATTAGTCAATTCGTATGTTGAACAATATGAATATTCTTATCAATATGAAGATTTATCTGTTGAACCTGCTGTTGTTGAAGAAAAGGAAAATGATGATCATGATGATGCAGAGGAAAATGAATAGAGACGATCAGGATTTGTTTGTTTTCTGTTTTAATAATCAATAAAAAGAACGATTTTAGTTAACTCTGAATATTTGTGTTTATTCCAGGAGACAAATTAAAAAAATAACGGTCGTTGTAACAACAGAATGTATTTTTAATGTTGAACACTTGTTATGTAGGTGGTCATCATCTGCCAAGCAGGGAACATGGATAGGTTTTCCGAACTGACGAAATAGATCTTCTTCACTCTCTTCAGCCCGAGTCCTTCGACTTCACTTTTGATCTGTTTCTGCAATGCTTATCGCTCTTTCTCTTTGACAAAATCAAATTTGTTGAAAACTATATCATACTCGAGACCAATTTCATCCAACAGTTTCATCATACTTGAATTTTTCTTCACTATTGATTGTGTCAGAATCAGACGACGTGTCAAACTAAAGTACGATACCTCATCGTTTCTTCCTGGAACATCCCATAGAGTAAATTTTTCATGATTGTATGGTGTAATTTCTTGAGTTGTTTCACTGTAATCTGTTGCAACAACCTGTTTGCCAAGGGGAGTATTGAACATGATTGATTTGCCAGTTGATTTCTGACCAAACAAGCCAATGGTAATTCCTTCTAATGGAAATGGGGAAGTTAGCTGAGCTAACTCAATTAGAGTTTTCATCAATTCGTTATCACGAGTGGCGAGATCTCCGAACGATTCGATTTTCTTTCTCTTCATTTGTTCGCCCAGGCACTACGGTAACCGGATCATGTGCGTGTTCAGGCTGAGAAAATTGACTGCGTAGTCCCGGATTTTGTTGACACAAAGAATCAAGCTGTGCAGCTTGCTCAAATGGTGGAACACGTGCAACATTCAGATTTGTGTCGTCTGAATAGAAATATACTGAATCAAGTAAAAATTGATATCTTATAGGATGCAAACATGTTTGCGAACTAATTTTTATATATAGTCACATAAGTTATGAACTTTGATGACATATCCTCTAGTAACATGACCCTATTGAGTAGAAACTTGAGCAGTTTCATGTAAATATATTTTTTCAGATCAGAAGGCATCGTATTGCACTTTTCGAATTTGTGTCAATGAATATTAATGTAGAAATGAGTATCTGATGTACAAGGAATAATCATATATATACATTGGTAGATATATTGAGATTTTCTTCAAAACACTTTCGTGAACCATTGGAAATTTCGTCAAGGTATCTGAAATGATTTCTGGAAGGTTCGATGAAGTTATATATGTATATATATATAGTAACTTCTTAAGTTTCGAATTAAACGTACATCTTCCTACCAATATGGCAATGCTTTTACCATTTCTTAGTGATATTGGTCAGGCTCTTGTCGGAGCCTTACTAAATCATAAACAGAACGAACGTAAGCAACTCATTTTTTCTTGTTTGATAGTCATAAATAACTGCTGGACAAACTTTGATAGAATGTTCACCTCGTTGAGCTGCCACTCTATTGAATATATCATGTTTCTTCTTTCAATTTAGAGCCTAATAAATCTAGCGAAGTGGCCAGGTTGCGTGAAGAACTCGATCGTTATAAAGCACGATTTGCCGAGCTGATGTGCCGTTTCCATACATTGATTAAAGAAATCAGGGAAACGAAAATCGAAATATTCGAAGAGTTGGCTGCTCGGGACAAAGAAAGAATGAGGGCTCCCATAGCTCTAGCAAACCAAACCATTCCAATCGAGTGAAAGGGAAAAATATTGGCTTGTTTGGTCAGAAATCAACTGGCAAATCAATCATGCTCAATACTCCCCTTGGCAAACAGGTTGTTGTAACAGGTTACGGTGAAACAACTCAAGAAATTACACCATACAATCATGAAAAGTTTACTCTATGGGATGTTCCAGGAAGAAACGATGAGGTATCGTACTTTAGTTTGACACGTCGTCTGATTCTGATACAATCAATAGTGAAGAAAAATTCAAGTATGATGAAACTGTTGGATGAAATTGGTCTCGAGTATGATATAGTTTTCAACAAATTTGATGTTGTCAAAGAGAAAGAGCGATAAGCATTGCAGAAACAGATCAAAAGTGAAGTCGAAGGACTCGGGCTGAAGAGAGTGAAGAAGATCTATTTCGTAAGTGCCGAGAATCCCAAGCTATACGATTGGCTTACTATGGTTAATGAATTAACAAAGTAAAACCAATGACAAACATGTCTTTTCAGTAAAGATACTGTTTTTTCGGCAATTGTTAAATCTTATCTTCAATGCAATCGAAATATATGAGAAGTTGTCATATGCAGAGCAGATTGATTTTCATGAAAAGTATCTGCTGGTTTTTCAAATTCTTCTTCTGTTTTATTTGATTTTAAACAACAAAAACAACGCTTTGCTTTCATTTATTTTCTCGAGTCTTTTTGCGACCGATTTGATGTTTGCTAGTGTTTCGTTCGCGTTTCTTCTCCAAGAATTCGCTGATCTTGTCTTTTTTCTTATGCGATTTACTGGTCACCTCTAGTCCGCTGCCAAATTCAGATATATGACTAAAATTACGAAACCGCGTACGTGCCACGGGTTTGTTCGCAAACGGTAGACGATCAAATAGACTCTTCTTCTCTGTATTCACTGGTGGAGGTGGAGGTGGAGGTGGAGGTGTCGAGGGCGCTGCTTCCTCGTCGATCTCGTCACTAAAACGAACCGAATTACTGTTTATGATCCTCATAGATCTGTAAACTCACTCATTTGTTTTTATCGGTTTGTTGACCTTTGGTTTAGATCCGAATGTTTCTTTTCGTTCTTTGATCGTATGATTATTCGATTCATCTGGTAATTCCTTCAAGCCAAAACTTTTCGCAATGTGACCACGATGCAAATTCTTCACATGAAACAAATATTTCCATTCACGCGAAAATGATGCATAATATCGAATGAATGAGAGATAAGCTAAACAAACAAATATCAATCGTGCAGGGAAATATCGATATAACTACGCAAACCTTGTCGTGCTTGTTCGATACGAACAGGGGATCCATTGACATATTCTTCAAAGTGATGATGCAACGAACTAGCACATTGCTCGGCTGTTTTTGGTATCACAGTCTACGAAAACTATGTTATACGAAACTATTATCGATGAGTAGTGGCGAACATACTCGAGTTTCGAAATGTTGTTTTAGTTTTTCACAGCTGTCCATTAATGTTTCGAGAACGTCATCGGGGGTAATACCTTTCAAACTGGACATACATCATTATCAATCCATACGGGTGAAGAAAAGAAATGAATTACCTCATTTTATATTTATCTTGCAATGTTGCGACATATTCTGCTTCGTTGGGCAAGAGAAAAATCAATGATTGACCAATTGAACCTAATCAAAGCAAGAGCATTCTATCTTCTATTCTCTGAAGTAATATAAAAAGACAAACCAAGTCGTGCGGTTCGACCAATTCGGTGAATATAGTCAATCGGACTTGTCGGATGATATTGTATGATCCATGTCACACTAGGCATGTCCAAACCACGCGCAGCCACATTCGTACATAATAAAATTCCTCGAGAGAGTTTTGAAAATTCACTAAAAACACTTGTTCGTTCCTAGAAAAACGTAAATTGTATTCCAAGGAACATTTTTCACGATGATTCTACTTGATGAGTCATGTCTCCTTGTAACCTCAATAATTTCACAGGTTCATTTAATAAATGTCCGAATTGTAAGTCACCTTCTTCATCGATATCGTCTTCTTTATCGCCATTTAACATTGTATTTAAGATTTCGTAATGAAAATGAACGAGATCATTCGTGGCAAGAAATAAAAGTACCTTGGCTTCGGATTTTCCCTTTACAAGAAAGAAGACACGTATGAATATTTATATCAACTTAATTTCCAATCAATTTTACTTTCTTGTTGAAGATTTTGAGAAGAAAGGCAATCAACGTAACGAATCGTAATTTGCTTGGCACGATCGTAAACATTTGTTTTAATGTTTTCGGTACAGTGATAACACTCTCTGCATTGAATTCTTCAGAAATATCAATCCGAAGAGCTTTTTTATTCAAATTGATGTCAACGAAATGATTCAATGCTAGAGTGAATAATCATTGAAATAAGAGAAGGAAAGGCTTTCTAACAAACCTGTGGTTGGCGTCGCTGAGAGAAGAACGCGTTGAAAACGTTTATCTGAATCCATTTGTTTGCCTATCGTTTCAATAATCTTCTTAATCGCATCGGCAAAACCCATGTCAAGCATTCTAAAATGACAAAAGTCGAACTATATAAGTCAAAATGCAACAAACTAGTAATTTACTTGTCAGCTTCATCGAAGATTAAAAACTGAATATTCTTCAAAGATAATGATTGGGTATTATCGATATGGTCGCATAACCGACCGGGTGTCGAAATGAGAACGTTCAAACCACGACGAAGTCTAAAGAATCATTTTACACGAGTTGTTTTCCAAGGAAAAACTACCTTTTCTTTTCATGGTTTCGATTGGAACCACCAACTAATGGTGAACATACAATCCGAACGAATGATGTCAACAATTTTTGAAACACTTCGTACGTTTGTTGAACAAGCTGCAAAAAAAATTCAACTATGGAAACTATTTCAAATTCACTTGTTTTACTTCTTTCGTTGGAACAAGTACGATAGCAATAGGACCAGATTCTCTTCGCACTGACGGTTCGATGGCTTGCATGAGATGAATAGTTGGTATAACATACGCCAACGTTTTACCTAAACATTTGTTGGAGAAGCAAATTTCAATGTTTAGTTGTACTTACCACTACCAGTTTGAGATTTAACTATGACGTCTTCGCCTGTAAGAATGGCAGGAATGGATTTTTCTTGAACATTTGTCAAACGAGTGATGTTAAATTTCTGTTTCAAACACGAAATCTACGAGGGAAAGGAAATGTAAAGAAACAGTTGGGAATTCAGTGCTTACGATATGAGGATGTACAGGCATTTGGTCTAGGGATGATGCTGAACCAAAGATTTCTTCAGTTGCTGTTTCGATAACTTTTCTAAAGGGAACGTCTATCAAATAAACATAATATTCAATAAACCTACTCGTCAATTTCGGGTATTGTTGGATTATTTGCGAATAACGACGATCGTTTTGGTGATTTCATTTCTTTTCCTTGACACAGGTCAAGTTTGACACGTTCATTTCGTTTCTTCTTCGCTGTTGATTCGAGATTCTGCGACGTTTTCTCTTCCACAATATCATGTTTACGTTTCTATAAAATACAAGCACAAAAATACAAACTAAACAACGAGTTCATCACATACAACTGCTTTTTTCGTCGGCAACGGTTCGCTTGTAATGTTCAACAACAAATTATCATCCTCCATATCTGCAAGACAACAACAACAAAATTCGCGATTTCCTTCTTTCGATGTATAGATATATACGACTGGTTTATGCGAAAATAAATTACAAGATAGAAAAAAAAGTTCATGCACATTAAGTTCGCTTGACTAGTTCATGCTTTTAAGAACAACACATGTATGTACAAAGCACGTCGTCTGTCATCTAACAAGAGCAACCAGATGCCGCTCGACCAGATTCATCATGATCGTCCGGTTGAATTGTTGGTTCTTTCTTTTCCCATAACGATGGTGTTTGGATGATCTGTATGAACAAAGAGATGAAATAAGATATTTGTTAGTATGGCTGATGTGAGTACCTTTTTGACAAGTTCTTCGAAAGCGGTTTGAACACCCTGACGTGTTCGGGCCGATGCTTCAATAAATAACATCGAATGTTTACGTGCGTATCGATCACCTTCGTCACGTGTGACTTCGCGATTTGCTTCTTGATCGATCTTATTTCCTACGAGCATTTTTATGATATCCTGTTTGTTCGAAAAGGTATCCAATTCGGAAATCCATCTGAAATTAAAAAGAGAAAATTTCAAATATATTTAGATTAGAAGATAAAGAATACAACCGATCCAAATGTCGAAACGATTCTCGACTGCACACATCGTAAACAAGAATTGCACCTTGAGCACCTCTAAAGTACGAAATTAATGTCATCTTGCGAAGATTTACAATCACTTTACCGATAATCTAAATAGAAAATTGATTAGAATCTCATGTGAACAACGAAAATACATACAGCCTGGTGTCAATGTTCGAAAACGTTCTTGTCCAGCTGTATCCTAAGACGGAAGAAATTAAAAATATCTCAAATCATCAACTTTTCTACGTACCCAAATAGCCAATTTAACTCGATTATCGTCGACATCTAATTGTTTAACTAAATAATAGGCAAATACTTGTTTTTCATCTAATTTCGATTGTTATAATGAATCTCAACCTTTGAAATCAACTCCAATCGTTGCTGCCATTTCTTGATCGAATCGATCATCAGTGAATCGTAAAAGCAGACTACTTTTTCCAACACCTGACTCTCCGATAATTAAAATTTTCAATGTCGTCAAAATTTCATCATCACCACTCATGATTCGAACGCGTCTGTGAAATTTTCCACGTACTCAGCTATTAGAAGATCAAAGGACACGTTTTTTGTGTATCTAAAAGGTTCTGTTTCGAAAGTATGAAAAAGCGCATGCACAATGCTTATCCAAGATGTACCATTATTGACCAATAAGTAGATAACGTTGACTTAAACTTTTCGATAGATGTCGTTAGTTCTATTCGAATTCGAATTTTTCAAAAAGAAAGAAAAATTTAGTTTTTATAGAGAATGAGTGCATTGTCAATGAGAAGGACCAGATTTGATGGCCCGAAAAGTGCAACACTGCGTAAGTGTGCATCGAAATCGATACAACCTTTGACAAAATCGACACTCTGATCTGTTTCATTGTTTTTTAAATCGATATTAACTTGAATAAATTCATTTGCTAGATAATCTTTGAATACGATCCATTGAGTTGATGGATTTAGAATTGCTATTCGACTTTTTCCATCTAATTGATATTCTTTCACTAAAACTGGCTGTTCGTGTAAACTAAATATATAGATATACCAATTCGATGCTATTTTCATAATTATCGCAGTTTTCTGCTGAAAATATCGAATAGAAATCAGATCCTCTATCTCATATTTGTTGAACAATCCATTTTGTATCAACAACGACGTTCCGATCAGATCTCGAATTCTTAGTTTTCGACAAAACCGGAACGTTGGTAAATTGTAGTCATGGAAAAAGTATGTCTTGGTGCTTAATTGACATGTAACAAGATAAAGTTTCTCATCCGAACAGCAACACGAGACATATTCTTCCAGACGATCGTTCGATTTGAAATTTTCAACCAGAGATAATTTACACGTCAAAGGATTCATCAGATAAATTTGCTTTCGAGTTAAAATAATAAAATTATTTAAATTGGGACACCAACATAAATCTTGTAGATTGCTTTCCGCTATTCGAACATCCTTGTTTGACCGAATTAGCCGAAGATTTTTATCGAATAAATGTAGATGATTATTGGCATTGATTAGAATGTATTCATGACTACAAGTCATGACATTTGATAGATATAAACGACAAGTTGTTGGCAACATTCGGTATTTGACTGGCTGTTTTTTCTGATGATTTATACTCGATTTGTTCTTGGGAGGAAGCGTCGAAGGCTCCTTGTAAACAATTGATCGATCTAGAACAATAAATGAACGATGTATTAATTTCAAAGATCAACTGCTACCTCCCAGCATTGATGGATCAGTTACTGATGATTGAGACATTACTGGTGAATTTCTTCCGGTATCTAAAAGCCAGTTTAGCTTTTGTTGTAACTTTTGAACTTTATCTTCAAAATTCTTGTCATTGATATCCCGTAAATCGATGATTAGTAGATCGCTGGTAACTTTATCTAAACATTTGGATCGAATTCGTCAAATCAGAATAAAGATTGTCAATCCGAACTTACTAAGCCAACCCGAAGGTTTCCAATTAGGTAGAATCCGACAAGCAATTATTGGTATGCCTTCGTTTTTCGCGAACTCGACATCTTGTTGACAACGTCGCGAAGATTCGTACATCGGTGTCATGAAACATACGAGACCAGTGATCTTTTCTCGAACACTAAGAAATAAAAAAAATAAACAAACATTTTTGTTGCTGAAAATACCTGTTATATTGATCTTTGTTGACTCCGTCTTCGACATCAATCCATACAGGCAAATTTTGATCCTTCAAGTACTGATAAACTTTGAAAACAAGTTCTTGATGATTTTTGTGATAAGAGAAAACGATGTAATGTGATAAAGAATGTGGAACTGACGCCATGTCTAAAGAAAAAAAGAAAGTTTTCGCTTTACAACGAACCAAATACAGAACTCAATGTTAAGTCAACAACAGTTCGTCTTTTTGTTAATGCACTGAAATGTTTTTTATAAATTTTTCTCATGTCAAATCATCTATGACACAAAGAATAGTAAAAATTTCAAACAAAAATACATTGGATTGTTGATTGAATTGCAAAAAGAGGGCGATCGTCTGTATAGAATGACGAATACCGATAGTGCGTGTAGTCTCCCGTGTCATCAAGGCATAGTCAACTATCCACCTGCTAATTCTATTTGCTAAGAAAAGAGAAAATGTTATCGCCATCAAAATTTTGCGTCAGCTGTGTCCTGTTTGCCTCATAGAACCATAGTGGACTGGTCTCTATTTTTATTTCCAGCTTTATCTATATCATAATTTGCTCAGTCAGATATTCTGTTGTTATATATGCTGTAAAACATTCTGAAAATAGCTTTAACAAATGACGGTAATCTCATGTTTGCTCATGAAATATCTTGTCGATTTTCTCTTTAGTCTCAATCGTTAGACCTCGTTCCGATTGATTCAATAGCAATCATCAAAACATGAAAATCGTATAAATTCAACAACACGAAGTAAAGAGTTATCTAAGTGGAAAAAACAGTTGATATTCAAATTTAGTGAGTTAAAATGTCCGAGAATAAAACTCTTGTGGCGATTGAAGCTTTCGATATTATACCTAGGTATCGATTTATATGTCATAGGGTTCACGATATCGACGATTAGTCTTGTACTTAATTTGTCAACAACAACAACTACATTCGAATTTTGTAATGTTGCCAATTGTCGTGAAATGGTTTTGTCTTATATTGCGCGAAAATGGACTTTCGATACGACCAAACTCGGAGAATGCGTTGGATGTCCAGCTATGACGAACTCGAAGGTAGATAGTGGGTGGTCTACGATGTGGATAGTCGAGAATTTTTTCATCGAAGATTCACTTCAGCAAGATTCAGACACACGCCGATTCGTTGGTGATGTGAAATATTGCGAACGGCACTGTTTCTGTCGTGCAAAATGTATAGCATTTTCGAGAGTGAAAAGTCTCTCTTCAGATGAAGTCGATACATGTTGGTTTATCAATAGTACGATGTCGAACAAAACATACAATCATACGAAATGACACACAATACTTTTCAAAGATGTATCCTGAACACATAGACAAGGATGAAAAAGCTGTCTTATTTTATTTCTACATTTTTCGAATAAAATATCAGCAAATTCACAGAATTCTATTTTTTTAACTGATACTAGTATTCATCCTTAGTCACTTTCTTATATTCTTGCGCAATTATATAAAACCAACTAGTCGCCGAAAGACGTACACCGTTAGCACTACATATAAAGAGAGAATAACAAAAGATAAATACTGCATACATTTCATTCTGTGAGAAAACGAAAGAAAAATCGTATGACATCATCAATCTCAAGTAAATGGCTTGTTCCGGACAAATTACCAAATGGACTGAAGTTTCAATGCTCTACAAGTCTTGGTAACCTCGTCTCAACAAATTGTGCTGCTCTGTTCTTTCGTCAACTTGTGAAATGTGTCGAAGAAGAACATAATTTGATCAATTATCATTTCAAAATCCAACATCATCGAAAGAAAACTGATCACATGGAAGTGTTTGTCTTTGCTGGTGATGATCAAACAAAACAAGAAGCAAAATCAGCTGCTGTTTGTAGTTCGTGTGACGTAGAACATGAACTAAGTCAAACAACATTGTTATCAGAACAGAAGTATACTTATTCATGGTTGGATTCTCGTAATCGACCGAAACTTATTTTAACTCCAAAACGACATATCGAACGGTTATGTGAATTGAATGATGAAAATGGTGAAATAGAAGCATTTTGGCGAGATGCAGTTGAAGTCATTGATCGAGAATGTGGTAATGTTAATGAACTCAATTATCCCTTATTGGCCATCAATCATGGAACATTTCGAAAACATGCACATTTACATTTGAAAATCGATGTGACGAAAGATATTTGGGAAAACGTGATTATACCTCGACATCGAGATAAAATTAATCGTTTGAAACAATTATTAAAACAAGTCGAGTTGGTGAAAGATTGTTTTACTAAAGAACATTTGGAAAGAGAAATACAAAAAGGTGTTATTGGAAATTAGAAAATGTGTTTTGTTTTCTTGTTTGTTTGACAACATATTTGAAATAAAAATTTATAATAAGTATGTATGCGCTATGATGATTCTCAGAACGACAAATAAGGATGTTTACGTGGAACACGGAGTTACATCTTCATAGAGATTCACAATGTATCCTGATTCTCGCCGGACTGAATGTCAAAATCTCATTACCGTGTTCAGATCATGTCGGTTAAAAAAGATGAATGATATGCTCCATGAGGACATATTTGCCTGAATAGGAAAACAGCAACATGTCTTTTTAAAATTCTGTTTATTATTAAATTCTAAAGAAAATATTTAATGAAATACAATAATCCATCATTATTCCTAATGAATTCAACACTTTTATTTTCTTCTCTAACTCTTATTTTCATTCATCATTTCCCGCTTATAGTCTTACACATAAACTAATCGTCCAATCCATTTTAAGATGATCTTGAACATTGTAAATCAGCTTTACCGAACGTTTCTTCAATTTAATCTTTTCAAGAAATCTGATAGCACAGAGCAAACTCTTCGGAAAGAACTAATTGCAACTCGTGTCTATATCTGCTCGTTCATCACTTCTCTAATCATAATTACAATAATAACTGCCTTTATAGTGCGAACAATTGAAACAACTGAATCTCAACCATCATACACGCGATTTATACAATTAGCAAAACAATATCCAAGTACAATACAATGTCCCTGTTCAAAATACTCGATTAGTTACCAAGCTTTTGTGACAACTCAAGTTCAATTTCATCCTGTTTGTTCAAGTCGATTTATTGAACAAACATGGTTTGATATGACATTCATGAATGAAGATATTTCAGTGCAATCGATCGATGATTTTCGTGTTACACTAAGTTTCTTTTGGCAAACTGTTGGAGGACTATGTAATGCAAGTCGAGCAAGTTGGGAAAGTGCCGTTGCAAATTTTCAAACATCAAATATTCTCAGTCCGACAGCCATTGCCGAAGAAACGCTTCGAGTTCAAGTACAAGCAGTATTTCAAAATCAAATCGATTTGTCTCAAACAACAGTAATTCGAACTTTACTTGCTATTCGTCGTATGGCAAGTGGAAATCAGATTGTGTCCGGTCTACAAACGAACTATTACCTAAAATTTTTCTCGTGCTCTGATATTCGAATGACTCCTCGAATGTTTGGGAATTGTTCCTGCACAAATATCGAAGGTTGTCCACGTCCAGCTATCTTCAATGATAGTCAAGGTCATTTGATAATTATACCAGGAATGATCATGGACTGCTTGATAATCGAAGCG